CAATGGCTCCGTGATCAGCCTGGAGCAGCAGCAGGTACAGGCAGAGCAAGCCTGCCTCCTCTTTGCTGTTCGAAGGGGACTGCTTAGCTGACTGCAGGCTGCCGGGGGAGATCTGGAAGCTGGGACCTCAGCTTGAGAACAGGACATAGCCCATCCTGCCTTTGAGCAGGACAGTCCATAATGTCACTTGCATCTAGTAGCAAAGGAGCTAGATCTTGTTTTACCCCCAGGACCAGGATCTCTTGTAAATTCTAGCATTGGTGAAGCAGCTGTGCAATCTTGTCTGTTAGCAGAAGGGTGGTGGGAGGTGTGGCCCCCAAGGACTCCTTGGCAGCTGGGGATTTAGCTTAGCTCTGCCTCTTGGAAGAGCAAAACCAGCGAAGTCGAGGCTATAGAGGGCAGCAGAGATGGAATCAAGATTTGTGCTGATCTCGGCCCCACTGCTCTTTAGTCTAACAGTCCTGGGCTTTGCTACTGCTGTCTGCATGCACACACATGTCCTTTGCCTCTTCTTCCATCAGAAAATCGAGGAACAGAAGAAATGGCTGGACTTGGAGATGGATAAAGTTCTCGAGCAGCGCCGGGCCCTGGATGAGCTAGAAGATGAGCTGAGGAAGCGGGAAGGTATTGTGGCCAAAAAGGAAGCCCTGCTGCAGGAGAAGAATGGCCTGGAGAGCAAACGACTGCGCTCCAGCCAGGTAGGACGAGAGTGTGGCCCCTCAGCCCCTTGCTTGATTTCCAGCAGAGGTGGGAGGCTAGAAGACCTGGGTGCCATCCTGAGTCTGGCTGAGGGCCAGCATGAGGTAGTGTTGAGAAGTGGGCAGGAAATCTGCCTCTACAGAAGAGCCTGCTTGTGCTGTGCCTCTGAGCTAGTTGGTTTGATAGCCCTTGGCTTAGGTGTGCGTGTGGGGTCACTTGGTCTATGGAAGGAGTAAAAAGGGGCCGAGGGCCTGACTTGCTTTTAAGAGCAGATCCCCTTGAGCATCTTCTGCCACAGGCCCTGACAGATGACATAGTGCGTGTGTCCAGCCGCCTGGAGCACCTGGAAAAGGAGCTGACTGAGAAGAGTGGGCAGCTGCGTCACAGCAGTGCCCATGACCAGCAGCAGATCCGCCAGGAGATCAACAGCCTGCGCCAGGAGAAGGACCAGCTGCTCAAGCAGAGGTTGGAGCTCGACAACAAGCTGCGTCAGGGCACCCTGCTGTCCCCAGAGGTACCTCTTCTTGGGCTGGGCAAGAGCATGAGGCAGTAAGAGAAGTAAAGGCCTGAGCACAGGGTCACTAGCAAATGCTCCTCCATGTTCCCAAACTGTGTGTATCCCAACTTCTTGCCGACACTATTGAGGCGACAAGGGAGGTCAGGGCAGGGTGAAGCAGAGCAAAGCCCTTGCTCCCTAGTAACTGCAGCTCTGCCCTGGCAGGAAGAACGGATCTTGTTCCAGCTGGATGAGGCAATAGAGGCTCTTGATGCAGCCATTGAGTACAAGAATGAGTCCATCACATGCAGGCAGCGAGTCCTGCGGGCCTCGGCCAGCCTGCTGTCCCAGTGCGAGATGAATCTCATGGCCAAGCTCAGCTACCTCTCCTCCTCAGAGACCCGAGCTCTGCTCTGCAAGTACTTTGATAAGGTGAGAGACAACTACCCTTGGTGCTGGTGGGAACTGTAGTATCTGACCAAACTCCTGGTTTCTTCAGTTTCAAGCTTTCTCTCTCCCTCCCTCCTACCATACTTTTGCCCTGTAAAGTCAGGCCACAAAACCACAGCACCATGACCCCCACCTGTCCCAACACCTGGGAGAGGGGCTTAACTAGTCATAGAATGCATGGATTCTTGCAGTGGCTCTGCCACATCAGTGCAGCCACACATTGCTCTTCCCTCCACGAGGCAGCTGTGACATCCCAGAACTACTAACCTTCATACACTGTACCAAAAAACTAACTGTATCAGGCTCAGTGGTGCAGGAAAGCTTCCAGGCTCTGAAAGAGCTGAGATGTTTCTTGCTTTTGGGCCCTGGCCAGGTGGTGACACTGCGAGAAGATCAGCACAGACAGCACATTGCCTTCTCAGAGCTGGAGATGCAGCTGGAGGAGCAGCAGCAGCTGGTATACTGGCTGGAGGCAGCGGTGGAGCGCCAGCGCCTGGAGATGGACCGTCAGCTCACCCTGCAGCAGAAGGAGCACGAGCAGAACATGCAGTTACTGCTCCAGCAGAGCCGCGGTAACCACCCAGCTCCTCAGACGGGCAGCAGTGGCGCTGCTTTCACCTTTCACCGGGCTTGCAGCCTGAAATGGCCTTGTTTTTTCTTGTAGAGCACATGGATGAGGGGCTGGCCAGCAGCAAGCTACAGTATGAGGCAAGGATTCAGGTGCTGGAAAAGGAGCTGAGCCGTTACATGTGGGCAAACCAGGAGCTGAACCAGAGGCTGAGTAACATGAACCTCCATCCTGGACAGACCAAAGGTGAGAGGAAACCCAGGCTGGGGCTTTTGCTGTTCCTGCCAGGTTAAAAGGAAGGGAGTTTAAATTCCTTTCCTTGGCAGCAAGAGCTTGGAGCAGAAGTCAGGAGTGCGGCTGCAGGTCATTGCTGGCCTGGAGTAAGTGCTCTACAGGCACTGATTTTGATGAGAAAAGTAGAGATCCTGGTATTCAACTCATTGTACCCCCAACCTTTCCCAGCAGCGATGGAGAGAAGCATTCACGGGGCTGGGGACAGAGCTCCCCCTGCGCTTGGGACCTGCGAGGAATCCACCCTGGGGGAACAGCCCTCGGTCGCTGAAGAAAGCCCTCGGGTCAGGGACGAGAGCAGGGACCTGGTGCACGCCCCTTTGCCATCGACGTGGAGGCGTTCCTCCCTGCCCAACGACAGCCCCGGCGACCTCCGGCAGAGGGACGCCGCTGAGCACTTGCCGAGGGCAGGGCTGGCAGGGCAGCCCCCCGAGGTGCACCCACCCCGGAGCCTCGCTCCTGCCTCCAAGCCCCGCTGGGAGCTGCGCAGAGCCAGCCTGCACGCGACCCCAGTGCCTTACCACCCCGCAATGATCGACGTGAGGAAAAACCCGCTCTAGACACAGGCTTCACACTTCCTGGCACAGGGCAGGGAGGAGCAGGTACTGCTGATGGGAGCTTAAGAGCCTTCCTGCCCCACAAGCCAGCCTGGCTACAAACCTGTTACCTTTCAGAGGCCTGGGGAAGAAAAAGACATGACTTTTCATAAGGGAACTAAGCACCAGCCTGCATTCCCCATGTTGCTGCCAGTCTGGACAACACTAACTGGTCACCTTTCCTCCTGCCCCCTCAGCAGCTTCAACACTGGGAGATACCTTCCACCCTGGCCTCTAACACTAAAAACTTGTTTACCATTTGAAAACCTCTGCTGTGGGGCTTGCTCAGCCCTAGCAGCCTCAGAGGGAGGTGCTCTGCAGTCCTGCAGAACTTGTACATAGATTTTTGTAGTAACTTTGGTTTTTTTACATTTCTACTGTAACTTTTCTAATAAAGCGGAGTGAGTTTTATGAAGCAGTCACTTGTCAGAAGCTCCAGTGATCATTTACTCTGGGTATATAGGAAAGGAGTTCTAGTTAAACTTCTCTGCATGGCAACTCAGCTGCTGTCACAGTGTTGCCTTAATGTTTAAGTACCTGCTTTGTAAGTAAGTGCTCAGTCAGAGCTGGTAGGCTTCCTACATTGAGTTGCTGCAGGAAAAGCATCTCCAGACAGCAGCAGAATTGTCTGAAGCATCCAGGATAAAAGCAACCCTGGTTCAGTGCCACTTTCTGCTCTAGCCTATAAGCTGCTTTAAACAGCATTTCCTTACTCTTAGGAAAACCTCCGGTCTGGGTGTACAGGAGATTAAATACAACCCTGCAACTTAACACTGACACCATCCACCTCCGGAAAGGGCACATAAGTTTGTGTCAGAGCAAGACATGAAAGCCCAGGTACCCACTTTTAAAAAGGGCAAGGGGGGAAAAAAAACAGCAGCTTGGCTACCTGCCCCCAAAAAGCAAGCCACTGCTTCAGCCTGAAATCACAAGGAGCACAGCTACCACAACCACCATTTGAGGAGTAACACACCAAGTTAAAAGCCAGCATCTGAAGTAGGAACCACCTGATCTTACTCCTACATATTTGATCTTCCCTGTAGGGGTATGGCTTTGAGGGGGGAGATTACTGAGAACTCTTGTGTGGCTGAGCTGCACAAGACACAAGTTCAGAGTCTTTATTTTCTGCTGTTAAAGATCTTTGGCAGAGAAAAGAAGAATCCATCCTACTTGGAAGTAAGTAGTAGTCTGGGAGCTCCATGCTTGTGTATCAATCCACATCCTTGAAGCCGATGGACCTCTCCCACAAGCAAAATAATCACCGATAAGCCAACTATTCCTCCACTCTTGGCAAACAGTCAGCTTTCCTGCACTAAAATTTGTTTGCAGGAAACAAATTCCATTCAATACCATCTAGCCCCTCAAAGCTGCATAACAAACTTCTGCATTGTCATGCCTAGTTTTAGGATGACCTCACACTATCTTCACAGCTCTCCGCTTCCTGTGCATTCACTAGACACAGTGGGGTGACTTCCCCGATACCCTGCTGTGCACAGATTGCCATCCTAAAGGAAAAACAGCCCTTCCAAGATCATGCACAATTTTAGCCCCTTGTCAGCTGTGCCTCAGGCACTGAATCACAGCTCCTGCTGGCTTCATGGGGTTAGAATGAAAGCACGTCTGTCACAGGCAACTAAGTCACTAAACTTAATCAGTTTAGTAAAGGGTGGTCTTTGAACTGTCATCTCCAGTTATTCCATCAAGTTTTACCTCTCAAGGTAAGCCAGTCCTCTCTGGCTCACTGCAAGTTTGCAGAAAAGGCCAACAGTTACTCCATCAGCACCTGCTTACCCAGCAGCAGCCAGGAGCAGATACACCAAACCATTCAGGATGAAAAGGGAGAACCAAACTCCCCTCCTTCCATGTTCCCAGCTAAGTTATCTTTCCCCTCCTCTGTACTCTTTTGGCATTTGTCAAGTATTTCTGAGTAATTTACTCAATCTGTCAGAGTTAATCTGCTTTTTACTTTCCTGGATGAAACTAACGGAGGGATCCAGTTTGTATCAGGACAGATACACAGCAGGAGCATGCAGCTTGTTTTGTACCCATTTACCTCCAGAATCTTTCCTCCTGCAGCTCCAGTCCCTTGCCCATCACTTGGGCTAAAGACAGATTTCTGATTAAGTGACACAATGAAAATTCCCATCAGTTTATTTTACAAGAAAGCTGCAGAAAAGTGAAAATTCTCCCTCGTCTTTGCCTAGCACAATTGAACTTTTGCTGTAGAACTCAGCTGCCATGTGCAGAAGTGCCAGAAAGACCAACCTAGACTTTGAATGGATGGAGAGATGCCACAACTGAGGTTAAAAAAACCCTGTTAGAGTGGTCCTTGCTTCCACTGTCATATACTCACATCCAGTTTCCTACCAACAAGACAGCTACAGTCCAGCACCAAATACAAGGTCTTTGTCAAAAAGCACGTTGTACAGCTGGGATAATGCAAAGTTTCCCATACTGTTCTGGCTCCCAACTTTAGCTGAGCAGCTTTTTCCGTAAGTAAGTCCTGCTAAGGGGACGCTTCCTGGAAGCCATGATGTGGAATGGAGACAGCTCCTGGTTGGTAGTAATTTGGAAGGCATCGGATTCCTCGTCTACAAAATAGAAAGAATAAATTAAAGCCACAATTTGCCAAAGTTTACTGGTGACTCCAAGAAGCCAAATACCAACTGGAAACAACAAGAACAGTAAGCTGCACTCCCTGCTGAGCTACTCTCTTCCCTCATCGTTACCTCCGCTCCCTTCCAAACTTCCCAGTTCATGCCAAGTTTCTTGGAAGTGTGCGAGATGGAAACGCTGAATGCAGAAGTGGCAGATACACCACAGGCTTTCCGCACAAAGACCAGTCCGTAGCACAGCATGCTTTCGTTCTCATGCAGCTGCGGGCAAGCAGAGAGCACACCCAGCCTGCTGGAGCCCAGCCCTTCCTCACAGCACAGCACAGGGGGTTACCTTGCACACGCTTTCTCCGAGACGGTGTCTGTCCCTGGCACAGCAGCGGGGACTGGGTCAGCGCCAGAAGGCTGCTGGCAGAGAGCGCACTCTTCACCGGTGGAGTTGAGCCTGGAGAAGCACAGCGAGATGCTGCAGCAAAGTGACAAACCCAAGAGTGCTTTCAGGTAAGTCTCATACAAAGCCTTTATTCTACCTCAAAACTTCCATCAATACAAGTGATACTTTATCTGAAAGAAAATCTAGGCTGGCACAGTGGATTTCTGGCTTCAAAGGTAAACGGCAGTCTGGAGTTAGCTCTTAGTGCGATTCATTTTCTTAGGTGGTTTAGTAGAAAAGCTCTTGGCTACTATTAAACATACTTACTCTCCAGTTAACTAATAACTGTTATAGCCATAATACAAAAACAAGGTCTGTAGGTACAGAACGTCTCTTAGAGGACCAGCTTAAGGCTAAATGCTGCCATTATTTCATGTCCTGAATATGGTCTAATGCTGCTTTGAAGTCTGACCATTTTTCTCTGTGACACCTATTACATAAGTAAGACATTGCCTCTGTACACAAGCCTTTCCTTCCAAGAGGAAACACGAAGATTAATACACTTCAGGGCATGCAGTGACTATAGAACAACATCTGTCATAGTCCCCTGTAACGTGCCATTTCTTGAACAATACTGGATTAAGTATTTGAAATTCACAAGGCCTTGCTTACAGAGCTGAGACAGCCTGTTTCACCGAGGTCAGCTGAATCATCTGTACACACAGCAAGAACAAAGAGATAGTTTAAACTTAAATCCCTACCAAGACATTACCGCCAGCCAGGTGATCATTTCTGATACCCACTTTCAACAGGCCTGCCACCACAGGCAGACAGAATTGCAGCACCAATAAACACCAACCTCCATAGGACTCACCCCACTAAGGCTCCAGTCTATACTGAAGTAGCCAAGCTTTAGACTTCAGACAGTTGGCTGCAGTGCTGGGAGCTGGGCAGAAGCAGCTAGCAGCACCCACACAAACCCAAATAAATCAGCAGCTGAACACAATCGCAATTCTCCCTCCCTGAGTTCTCAAACTTTCCTTTTAATTCTTCCAGCCTCCTGCTCTTTCATATTTCTCTTATCTCTCCCATCACTAATACTCCATTGATGAACTCCTCACATCCAGTCTGCCTCTCCACATAATTAACTTCCATGTTATTTACAACCCACTCTCCCCCTCCACCTCATTCTCCCAAAGATAGTCAGACAGAAGACAATTGTGTTCTTGTTTTTGTCTACCCCACGTTTTCAACCACCTCTGAATTTCAATGGAGAGTCACTTGTGCCACTTAATTACCTGATAAAAGGAAGACATCATCATCCCCTACACAACCGTGCTGCTCGGGAGTTATGAGCGCACATGCTCCTGGTTTCTCGGGAAGCAGAGAGTCCATCCTTGATTTGCTTCTGTAGCCCTCATCTGTGGAAAAGGCAGTGAGATCAAAGCCGCACCTATCAGTGCAAGATCTCTTGGCATCACAGTTCTCCTCTTTTTCTGGTGATAGATACGTAGAGACCCGCTTCCGAGATTTCAAGCCAAAAGTTCCCATGGCAGAGTCCTCATCAGCCCTGGGTTCAGAGTCATTAGGAGATGCCTGATCCTGCAGCCTGTAAATCCCTTCCAGTTCAAATTCCCCAAGAGCATTTGTTACTTTGCTGCTGCAATGCTCCAAGATCTTCATCTCTCCTTCTCTGCCTGTTGACATCCTCTTCTGTTCATCAGCATTCTTCTCACTTTGACCACAGCTAGCGTTAGCAGTGCTGCCTGCTGCTCTCTTTCTCCGAGGCCAATCGTTGATAGCATCAGGGGTAGTCTTCCCCTTCTGCTTTGGAGAAGGCGTCCGGGGAACGCCTGCTTCTAAGGGGGACGGGGAGGTGGCATTAGAGGGACAGCTTGTTGGGGTATATGACTGGCATATGTAGGTCTGTCCTCCACCTTTCCCAGGTGTACTGTGGAAAGAGCGAAAGCAGGACGGTGAAACACAGGCAGCCGCTAGTTTTCCCGGGTGCTTGCTACACCCGGTCATAGCAAGATCCCCAAAGGGGCTTTCTCCTCCCTTGGCTTTGCTGGCACTGGCTTCAGGTTGAACTTCCAACGATGAGCAAGAGCCAATTTTCTTAATGCGAAGTTTGGGCAGGCCTGAAGCTTGCATTTCAAGTTCAACTTCGTAAGTTGGTGAGCTAGCAGAAGGCACTTTGCAACAACTTTTAGGAGCAGTGAACTTGGCTAGAAGTTGAGCATTTCCCATCCGTGCTGCAGCCTCCCGCTGCCTCCTGTCTGCAGTGCAGCGTAGAGAATAGGCAGGAGCAGACTTTGGCATAGGAGGTGAAGCATTCAGGGCAAATCTGGAGTGTCTCTTAAGACTTGGAGCCTTCAGCCCCACACATTCTTCTCTCAGCAGGGTTCTTGGTTCCAAGTTATCACTAACTGTTTGAGAACCACTTAGGAAGGACTCACAGGTGTTTGCACTGGAGTTCCCCTCCTTAACCAATTGCTCACCCTCTGTCTCAGCATTCTGTGCATGTACCTGCCCTCCAGCAGAAGCCTTTGGAGACAAATGCTTTTCCAAGTTTTCCAAGTCCTCTCTTGGGGAAGACTTTTGAGACGCTACATCCATCTGTTTATTTTTCTCCAATACAGGAGTATTTTCAGTAACTGGGGACTGACAAAGCTGAAGGGTTTCTACACAAGAGTTACCACCGCTATCATGATGATTGTCCTTATTTTCAGAAGGTGTTGCCCATGCAGGTGTGAGGTTCTCTCCTCCAGAATTTGGTTCACATTTGGCCCGCTTGGATGCGTGAAACAGGGACCACAGCGAAGGGCCAGTAATACCTGGAGATTTTTGCAAAGATGATTCAGATGCACTAAGTTCCCAGCCAGTCTCCCTAGCCTGCATGTGGGAAGGCGAGCAGATTGCCACAGTGTTCGTGGAACTTTCACAGAGAGAAGGACGGAGGGGAGGCTCTAGCCTCACAGCGAGCTGTGATATTTCTGCACTCAGTGGGCTGGTACCTAATTTTGAACCTGGATCTTCATGTTTCCTGGGAGTACTTTCAGTTGCTTGAGATAATGGATCTGACTGCACCTGAATTTCCTTTGGGAGGATTTGCCTTCGAGTACCAACTGGAGATGCTAATTTTGAGAGGTATCTCAAGGAACGTCTTGGAGTTTGCAGTTCTGTAAAACATCTTTCCTGGATGACAGAGGGGGAAGAAGCAGCTGGATTTGAATCTGTCAGAGGTAATAAGGCATTAAGCACTGCGAACCCTTCATGCTCTGGTGTTTGTAAGCCATCCTCTTTGCAAGGAGGGGAAAGTCTTTCTGCTAGAGAACAATCCTTAGCAGTTACTTGCAGTAAGTGAACCTTCTTACTTTCAGTTAATGCAGATGGTGACTTGACCCTTTGTACAGGATGAGAAAAGTACTTTCCCAAACACTTAGCTGCAATCTGCTTAGCAGCTGGACTTTTGCCAGGAGTCTTCTCCAGTTTCTGTGGGGTCCTGTAGAGAAGGCGAGGTGATCTCCTTGGTAGCTTACTGGCAGAATTCAGTGGCTTCTGGGCAAATTTATGAGGTGTTTTTCTAGGAGTCTGCAGGGGGAGAAAAAAAATAAAGAATCATGCTTGTTCTATTCCAGCAGGGTTATCTACCTCTCTTGATATTTACTTCTCAAGATTTAAAACACAAAAACCATTTGATTAGACTTAACAGAAACACTAAATTTAAGATGTGTAGGTCTCACTAAACACACAGAAAAAGGGGATGGGAAGAGAGGGGTAAGCGTTCCTACCTGACAGGCAGTCAGCTCCTCTAAGTGTAAGGAATCTTTTCTTGTTCTCCTGCTTCCAGGTGAATGCTTCACTGCAGGACTACATGTGTCAACGACTGCACCAAAGAAAAACCTCTTGGGAGTCTGGACAGTGGGGCTCTCTGAATGCCGCTTAGTGCCTATAAAGTGAAACAGCACAATTCCACTAACACCGAGTAACGTGCTATGAACAGTCGTCTCAATCACTTCAGAAATATGGACAAGTAGTGTACAAAGCCTATAGCCCTGGCATGTTCTTTTCTAGCCAGATGTTAAAGCTTCACCAGAATCATTGTTATTTCCCAATATGAAACTAATATCTGTCTGTAGAAAGTGTGTTCTAGAGGGGAAAAAAGTACAAACCAGCCCAGTCTCTTACTCTATTTATAGCTTGTAGCTTAAGAAAGTTCTGGTTCATGACTAAGGATTCTAGTAAGTACAATATTAAGAACTAAATGTCGCCATTTATAGCTGATAATCCTACAGAGAAAGTCAGCAAAGAAGATCCCATCAGTCATTGCTTTATGCTGCCACAGAGTAGAGTGAAAGTAAGCTTTGAGATTTCTGTCCCATATTTTACAGGGATTTCACTGCATTTAAGGAATGAAGACTGACAATCAGTGGTATTCTGTTCGATGGGCCTGACTGGTTTCTTAAGTTGGCAGTGTATTCATCATAGAAATGCTGCCTTACCATTCTCCAAATTCAGATTCCCAATTCAAAAATAATTACTGGGGATGAATTTCTGTCTACAGAAGATATTACATGCTTGCTCTTAGCTTCTTACAGTCTCTTGTAGTGTCAGATCAAATCAAACTAAACTCAGAGCTGTCCATGCCAGCTTTCCAGATCAGCAATATCAGCCTGCTCAAATCCCATTCGGTACCTTCTACATCCTGCAGCGTACAGCTCTCCTCTTCTTGTCCCTGACGGACTCGCTGTGAACTTTGGGATCTGGGCTGCGTAGTGGAACAGAAAACACCAGAGCAGGTCCTATTCAAAGACAGCTGTTTGATGCGTGGGCTTCTTCTCAAACCTGCTTCTGAAAAGGAAAGGACATTGGAGATTGAGCCCTCTTTCTCCCTCAACAACAGGGACACCTTCAGGAACAGTTTGTAACTGAAAAGAACACACTCTAAAAAAACCTTCCAAAACTCTTCATAACTATCTCATGTAGGGAGGCAAGCATACGAAGAAGAAAGCTTCAACTTTCTTGGGGATTTGGAATATTAACGCATGATCTCCTTCCAAATTGTGATGCTCCCCCCTCTTCTAAGTCACAACTGCTCTCACCCCTCTCTAGCAATTACATGGAAAGGAATGCTAGAAAAAGCCATGTTCAATTCACATTATATCCAGGTCAAATGATTAGTTAATTCTCCTATCTCTTTACTAGTGATTTCATCTTCCTGCTTGCCCAGCCACCCTGTTTTCTTCTTCCTTCCTGGGGATAAGAAACAGCAGCAGCCAACATAACATCGAGATGCTCCACGGAGCCTGGTGGCGACCTGTTACAGCAGTAATCAGAGCAGTGTTAGGGTCACAGCACATTAAACACACCTACATGTGCTGGTTTGACAGTAATTATAGCAGCTCAGAATCTTGTTCACCCTCGAAGTCCTTCAGGTATTTTCATTTTAAAGAGTTCCTATCTACTTTTCTTTCTAAACTTAACTATACAGGGTTGTCAACACAGTGAGCAACAAGCAGTTCTACGAGAGGACGCTGTGCTCCACCAACAGAACAGTACAATACTTTTGTACTGACTATTCATGAATTACCTAAATTGAAGCACGCTCATCTTACTAACGACAACACTGCAAAACCACCTTTAATCAAAAAATCACTGCTTACCGTTTATGGCCTTCTCTGGAGATTCTTCTACAACACCAGTGTCACAACCTGGATCAGAAGACCTTGAGAAGAAGTAGACATTTTGGACTTGGCATACTGTCCACATTTACAGAAACAGAACTTGCCACACAGACTGAAAAGCAGTACTTGATTCTACAACAATATATCGCTTTCTGGGCTGCTCTAAGCGAGCAATTAGTAAGCACTTTGCCTCCTATTAGCATTTGATTGAGTATGGGTACTGTCTAGCTGTATAGGTATTGGAATTAATATTAAGATGGAATTAACATGGAATTAAATGCTAAATTTCAGCCTGGAGTCCATAAAATACAGCACAGGCATTTACTTTAGAAGCCCTTGAAACAGTAACTGAACCTAAACAGAAGTTAGCTGCAGGAATCAAAGCACCCTGACTTACACAATGAAGCAAGCAGTATTTCTCTCCACTCAGACAACAGAACTTAGCTGCCAATGATTCTCTTACTGCCTGAGCTGAAGATGACACTTTGACCACAAAGATGACACCTGGTTGTTCTGCACACAGCCATTAATTAGACATCCAATACTTATTGAAGAAAGTCAGAAAGAGCTTACTCACCGCCCTTTGATCTGCTTATGTAGTAGTCTCCTGGAGACCTGCTTATGTAGTGGCGTCTCTGCAACTCTCTTGGTCAACAACTTGCGATGATCTAAAAATCAAGCAAGAAATAGAACAGCACACGATTCTAAAGCAGTTAAGACACATACATAAATAGGGTTTTGTACAGGCTTCAGTTTAAGAATGACAGCCAATACAGAATCATTGTGCATCAGTCTCCCAGCACTCACAAGCTATCATCATTTCAGGGTCCAGTGTCTACATTTCCTTCCCACTCCCACAATAATACAGTATTGAGTTTGAGAGACACATAATTAACAACCTACTGAGATAACTTTCATTTTTCATTCACAGATCCTTTTTTAACTGCACATTTTTAACATCAGTTTACTTTATAAGACAGAGTTCAGTAAAAAATAGGTTTCAGTTTTTGAACACCTTCAGGGATGGTGACTCCACCACTTCCCTGGGCAGCCTGTTCCAATGCTTGGCCACTCCTTCAGTAAAAAAATTTTTCCTAGTGTCCAATATAAATCTCCCCTGGTGCAACTTGAGGCCGTTACCTCTCTTGACCTGTCATTTGTTGCCTGGGAGAAGAGACCAACACTGGCCTCACT